ATAACAGCTTCCTTATTTTCTTATATTTTGAACCTAAATTCCTGAATTGGAATTTGGAACACTATGCATAAAAGGTTACAGTCTACAAATGGCCCTTGCATCATTCAATCAAAAAATGAGTTGCACCACATTTTGATGAACATTCAATCCATGAACAATACCTTTTGGATATCAAATCAAAGGTTTATATCATTATAGCTGCTGATTCACCCCTTGATCCTGAGGATATATTTCTTTTATAGTCAATGGTCTCCCCTCTACTTACCTAGCCTTCATAATTGCTAACAGGACAAATTTGCAGCCCTTGAGTTTAGATTATTTTTATTCATTATTTGTAGTGAAGAAACCAATTTGGCCAATGATGCTGCTTATGAACTTCACAATCCTCAATTACTAGAGTCGATATTAGCTTTAACAGCTCATCATGGAAGAGCTGTGCAGAAACCATTCTACTCCAGGTCAGCTCGGGGCTGGCGCCCTTTTCTTCTTCCATTTCTCGAAGATTTTAAATGCCTTTCACTTCAAGGGTTGGGCGTAACAATTAACAAGTTGTAATTTGTCAAACTGTGGCAAATTGATTCATACAGCTATCACTTGTTGCATCAAACAAATTTAATTTAAGAAGACAATTCTACACCTCGAGCATTGCTGGCTGATGATTCTTCTCAACCTGCTACCTAGCAAGCAAAGTGTTCAGAGCAAATGGTTCTCAAGGTTCTCTTGATGGTTCTAGTACTTGCCAGCTCGACAGTTTATTCAAGCAAGCAAGAATCCCAACTATTATTCATGGATGTTGTTTGATCAGAACGTAGTTTCTGCACTATGTTCAACAATAACAGCTTCCTTATTTTCTTATATTTTGAACCTAAATTCCTGAATTGGAATTTGGAACACTATGCATAAAAGGTTACAGTCTACAAATGGCCCTTGCATCATTCAATCAAAAAATGAGTTGCACCACATTTTGATGAACATTCAATCCATGAACAATACCTTTTGGATATCAAATCAAAGGTTTATATCATTATAGCTGCTGATTCACCCCTTGATCCTGAGGATATATTTCTTTTATAGTCAATGGTCTCCCCTCTACTTACCTAGCCTTCATAATTGCTAACAGGACAAATTTGCAGCCCTTGAGTTTAGATTATTTTTATTCATTATTTGTAGTGAAGAAACCAATTTGGCCAATGATGCTGCTTATGAACTTCACAATCCTCAATTACTAGAGTCGATATTAGCTTTAACAGCTCATCATGGAAGAGCTGTGCAGAAACCATTCTACTCCAGGTCAGCTCGGGGCTGGCGTCCTTTTCTTCTTCCATTTCTCGAAGATTTTAAATGCCTTTCACTTCAAGGGTTGGGCGTAACAATTAACAAGTTGTAATTTGTCAAACTGTGGCAAATTGATTCATACAGCTATCACTTGTTGCATCAAACAAATTTAATTTAAGAAGACAATTCTACACCTCGAGCATTGCTGGCTGATGATTCTTCTCAACCTGCTACCTGGTACTTTGATTCAGGAGCTACTTCGCACATCACCAATGCCTATCTAATTCAAGCGCAAGGCTATAGTAGCAATCAATAAGTTATAGTGGGCAATGCACATGCTCTTCTAATTTCAGACATCGGTCTAGAATTACTCTCTAATTCTCATCATAAGCTTTGTCTGTCTCCTCTTCTTCATGTCCTTAATATATATCAATCTTATATACATTCATCGTCACAGTTCTGGCAACTCATGCTCGATTTCATTTGATGCAAATGATTATTCAACTAAGGATCAAAAGACAAAATAAATTCCTCTTGGGACCCAGTCGTGATGGCCTTTATCCTGTTCGTCCACATCCACAATCTTCTCAAGCAGCCAACGATCTCGCCTTAGCTACCATTGCTACTTGGCATTTGAGATTATGCTAGCCACATTCTGCTTTTATTTCTGCTCTAGCTACATAAAATTCTACCATATGTATTTCTTCTTTTATTTATCCATGTAATTCTTACAAATTAGCAGAAAATCATACTAAATCTTTTATCACATCTACACCAAGATTTCCTTTTTCTTTTGAGTTTGTTCATTTTGATTTACGGGGTCTTCCTCTGTTTCATCTTTCAATTGATATCGGTTTTTTTTGCTGTTCGTTGATGTTTTCTCTTTGTTTTGTTGGTTATATCCAATGTAATATAATTCGTAAATGATCTTTAAGTCACTGGCATTGACTCTTCTATCAGCCAAATTTTCAATTTACAATGGCACTTCCACCTCTGAACTCTAGGATTGATTTCTCAATTTTTGGGGATTAAAATAGTTTAAACTTGTATTGGATTACATTTACGTCGAACTTCATATGCTATGAAGTTTCTACATTGACTAGGTATGGTTGTTGTAATCCTATTCGGCAGCCCTTAGATTAAAATCTCCTATTTGTGAGAATGTGGCTTCTCCATTCCAAATTTTGAGCTATAAGCATTTCTTTTGCAGTGAATAAGGCATGTCAACTGCCAACATATGCGACATCTCCTTAATAATAATTTTCAAAAACTTAAATGACTTCTTTGATATATCGAAGGAACACATCTTTATGGCCTTCCAATTACTCATGACTCACTTCGATTTGGTACTTTTTTATTTTGACTAGGTTGGTGATCTCTCCGATAGAAAATCTACCAGAAGTCACTATGCTTATTTGGGTAATACACTCATTTCTTGGTGTGTCAAGAAACAATCAACAATAATTAGATTACCCACTGAAGCTGAGGATCATGCTCTCGTTAATTCTGCTATAGATATTATTTGGCTCCATCTGTTATTAAAAGAACTTAGCTTAAGCATAATCTTATTTTTCATACTCAGACAAAATGTATAGAAGTTGATTATCACTTTATCTTGGATTATATTAAGTTACAAGAAGTTATTGTTCATCACATTGCTTCTCAATATCAAATTGTTGATATCTTCACCAAGGTGCTTTCTGTCTCTCGTTTTTCCTTTCTTCGTGACAAGCTAAGAGTTTGTCTTGAATCATGAGCTTGCAGGACAGTCTAAAGGAACAATTTTTTGCATTGTTCATTCTGCTACACTCTCCACCTCTTTGCTTCAGTAAAACTGGCATCGTCTGGATCATTTGTTTCTAACTACTCTATTCATCCTAACCATAGGAGCATAACTGGTTCTGATTCTGTAATGATTGTGCGCTCTTTTAAGTTGTATACAAGTAGTGTTTTCTCAAAGACTGGAATGGAATGCCGTTCTATTTTTTTTCTGATCTCCCTTAGTAATTTTCGCTTTTTTTAGTCATCACAAAATTTATCCATTTGTTATAAAAAAAGGAGGTATGCCCAATATTGTAGAGTGATCAGAAATTTAAATTTTGGACTGTTGGGAGTTTTGAATAACCTGGGTTGGATGGAATCAAGATTAGCTCGTTATGAACATTAAAGTGGTAAGAAATTGATATGGGATTTTGGGTCTCATTGTTTTATGATAAAAAATGAACGAGATATGTAAATACTGAGGATGACTATGCTGATTTTACATTCAGATTTTGTGCTCTTGTAGTTTCTGGTATCTGTTTTAATGGATTTAAAATTAGCTAAAATTGAATCCATCTCGATAATAAATGATTGAGATCTGCTCTTAATATTGAATGATGGTCAAGTTGGATGTAAAGATTTTGATTTTGAGCTCTTAGAGTTTTCAAGAATCTAGGCTAGATTTAGTCAAATTTAGCTGAAGTGAAGAACATCAAACCAACAAAGAATTGTGCCAGTGATATACAGACCAAATTTGATTAGTTTTTCTTAGAAAAAGTGAGTCAAACCAACAAAGAATTGTGCCAGTGATATACAGACCAAATTTTATTAGTTTTTCTTAGAAAAAGTGAGATTTGTCAGAAATAGTGTTGAAAAACTCCGAGCTTCATGGGGTTAGATTAAGTTAATTTTAAGCTTGATTCAGGTACTTTAATGTGCTGTTGCTATCTTAGGGTATTACCATGCTTAAAGAATGCGGGACTTTGGGATTTTATCATATAAATCAAGGTGATTAGAGGTTGATTAAAGTTGTTTGAAATTCAATTGCATTGACTTTAGGTTGACTAGAGTTTGATTAAGGTGATTGCTATCGAGCATCTAGATTTTGGGTTATATATGGAAATAACTCCATGTGCGTTCTAAGATCTTTGACCATTGTCTCTCCTAAGGCCGTTTGATACAGACCTTTTTAGTACAACTCAAGTTTGACCTAGTGCTATACATGTCATTTTTAGTTTGGAGGCTTTTTATAGGTCAACATTGATTAAAAAGATAAAATAAAATAATAATTAAAATATTTTCACATATAATTAAATATGAACTAATACAAGTAAATAGGGAGTCATACTAATTAAATCTAAAAACTGTTTTGAAATATGTTTTTAGTTATTATTGATAAAATGCTCGAATTTTGGTTGTGTTTATCAACTTTGAGATCTTTTGCAAAACCTAACTCAATTATTGTACAACGCACTCAAAGTTCGATTTTCCTTGGACCTTTGCTTCCTTATTTGTGCCTTCTTGTAATTTTTCCCCTGTGCTCATTTTCCCTATTAACCATTTCTACAAGTTATCTTAGTTGAAGCAATCTTCATCTTTGTGGTTGCTATGAAATGATTAACTTAAATTATGGTACTTAACTAATCATTTGATAACGCAATCTTGTTTGTTATCATCAAATCATTACCGAGCTACACAAATCTCATTGCTTTCGGTTTCACATGTTAAATGCATCAATGAGATTTTCAAGACTTGTTAAATTCCTCAATGAGATTTTCATTTTTCTGCACTCTTTTTCTGAATAATAGTTAGGAGATCAAGCGAGATTTTTCTGGAAACGTTATTTTCCGTATTAAGGAAATTCAACTGCAAATAAAGTATGCTGTCCATTATCATGATAGGTTTAATCCTTCTAATGAAGGAGTATTGCCTAGCTAACGTATGCTTCGCTTTCTTATAAGCAGATACGTGCACATGCAAAGTACCTGGGAATTCCATTGTTGTGTGATGAGCTTTATGGAGGCACAGAAGGCTTGGCACTGTCACTGCTGAAGTCAAGGCTTCCTGTGAATTGCCATGCTCTTGTATCAGAGATGATATCCAAGCTAGATAGGCCTTGCCTTCACGCTCAGTCACTGGGGTAAGGAAAATTAGTTTAAAAAACATCGGGCTTGTTTGGGATCACTTTTATTATTTATTATTTATTTTTATTTTAAAAACATTTTTGTTTAGCATATTTTTCCTGTTTTTATATTTTTTTTCAAAAATAAATGAACTTATTTTTAAAAACACTCAAAACAAATTATTTTGTGTTTTGAAAAAATAACTGTTATAACATATCAAATATTTTTTATTTCAAATAAAATTATAAAAATACAACAACAACAACAACAACAAAGCCTTAATCCCACTAAGTGGGGTCAGCTACATGAATCCTTTTTCTCCATTGCGTCCTATTTAGTGTCATATTTTCATTTAGTTCTAGTAAATTAATATCATTTTTAATACAATAAGCCCAAGTCTTTCTAGGTCTACCTCCGCCTTTCCTAACACAAGTCGAATCTAAAACATCTACTCTACTAATCAGATCATCAGATGGTCGACATTTAATGTGGCCAAACGATCTAAGACGACTTTCTCTAATTTTGTCCGTCACAGGAGCTACACCAACCCTATCACAGATATGTTCATTTCGTATTTTGTCTATAAGTGTAAAACCACTCATCCACCTAATCATTCTCATATCGACAACACTTAACTTATTATTATGCTTCTCTATTAAAGGCCAACATTCAACGCCATAGAGCA